TCGGAAAACGCGCACGGTGAGTCGCTTCGAGGATGAGTGATATATCGACCAGATACGAAATCTCCCATTTCATCGTTTGATGCGCCAATTGCATTCCGCATATTAATAGCCGTCTGTGAAACAAAATTTGTGACCTTTGAATCTCTAACAGTCTTGCTCAATGCTCGAGCTATAACTTGTTGTAGCACTGCAGTAAGTTTTGCTTCGTTCCCTCTTGCTGTTAGCAGCACTTTAACTAGAAGATGAGCTTCAAGTTCTCGTATTTTGATTTTGGTGTGAGTCGATTTTGGATCAAACGAAATAGGTGACCCGGTCCAAGTGCCCGCGTTCACCGAGGAAGCTGAAACGCGTAGGCCTAAAGTCTCCGATAAGAATCGAGGTAGCACTAGTGCTATAAGTGGAGCAAGAAGATATGACCAGGATATTGGAAGTCTTCGAGGCGTGTCGAATGGCTCTTGTAGTTGTTTCACCGGAGTATCGATCACCGCAGGTAGACTACCACGTTTGGCACCATCTCTCAACGCTTTGAGAAACGTCCGGTGAAAGGCAGTACCGGTTGGGCCATCCCCAATCATGTGAGAAAATGCAAAAGCAATAAAGTAAGTGGCTTGTAAAGGGAGGACAATGATTCGCCATGGTGGGATGTTGCGAGGGAGCGGGAGATCTAGGTTTGAAGCCAGTAATTTTTCGATCCTGCTCAAATCATCACCAGTGTCGGGGTAGCCTGCTATATGCATGTGATCGTTGATACGAACTGTGGGGACGCGCTGATAGAACGCTCTGTCGGTATGCATATCCCCAACAGTAACAGAAAGATATGGGTGCTCCTCGATGCATCGCTGCAGAGGGTAATAGAGCGCATCTGGAAACTTTACGTTGAAGTCATTTCCAAGGTCGTATATCCCCCCAACGATTATAGAATAGTAGAAACCAGCGTCATCCCTGCTTATCGTACGTTGCTCATTGGGACCTCCCATCATTAGTACATAAAATCGGAGGTCACAGGCATAGTTTGCTTACTTGCAAATCTCAAGAAGACACTCTGACCGGCCATTGTGTCACAAGATCTGTGAGTTGCGTGATCTGGATTGTGATTAAGGCGTAGTTTGCTAGAATTGTTAAAAAGATGGTCTACTGTCGGCAAATTTCTGACATAAAGAAGCTTTTCTTGGTCATTTATATGCGTTGAGGTAGGCTACTGAGCCTTCTACATAACTTCCCAAGGCGATTATAACGACAAAGGGTATCCCCGTTGATTCACCTAGTACTCGTGAGTGCCCCACTAGAGGAGCTCATATCCCCGAATTCTCAGCAGCCACTTGTTAGTAGGGTCGAAATTGACCCGACTCGCTGATAGTGTTGATCCCATTTAGACCGAATCGAGATGGAATGCACCGGTGACATTTTTCTATTTTCGGTATGGCGCCGTATTGCAAGCCCTGTTTACCCCTGGAAGAGTGGGTCTCAAAGGCTAAATTGATGTGCCGCCGACAGAGATTGTTGGCGTGGCGGCGTCATTGCAGACGCTTCTTCTCAGCCTCCGCTCATTCTCATTCTCGCCCGCTTCCCATGTGTTCCCAGATTTAATGGCTGCAATTGGAATCAGCTGCACATCTTCTACTGTGCCTAGCAGTGCCAGCATTCATTCTGGATCAAGCTATTCACGTACAGCATGCGAGCGTTGTTACAAGAACAAAGAGAAGTGCCGCTTCGATGACAATCGACAATCTTGCTTCAGATGTCGTCGACTGGATAAGCCATGCCAACCGAGAAAACGGAGGCGGATGGGTCGTCTGCCCATCCTGAAAGCATTACCATACGGCACCTACTCTGTAGTGAGCCTATCTCGGGAATCAGACAGTTCGTCAATAGACACCTATCCTATTGCGAAGGTGGCACCTATTTTAGTGCCCCATAACTTGGGTTTCTGTCAGTCACAGGCGAAATCTTGTGATTCAACCTTCAGTGGCTCCGAACAGCATGATCGTCAGCATGACAGGGACGCTGATGAAGGTTTAAACCGAACGTGGGAGCCGAGAATTATCTTCGCCTTTAAACGACATCTTCAACGATACCGACACGTAAACCGAGCATTAAGCACAGAGGAGGGATTCTTCGATGCTCATCGGCATTTCATGCTTGGCGACAGCTTTATAGAGGCATACCGACGAACAGTCTTGCTGGTATTCGACCATTCTCCCGATATTCTATCCGACGCATATCATGCAGTGCTAGATTTGATGCCTCGTAGGCAACACGGATTTTCGGGACACGGAGATCTTGACATAGCACTTGGTACAAAGTGCCTAGGAGGTCTAGTTCGTTTGTCATCATCAATTGGAGGAATAGAAGATGCTGCCACCATGATCATGTTAGGACAGATCTTGCTCGTGTACAACACTTTGATACCATGCCCTTCTACACGAACCATAACCCGCGGCACTTTACTAGCAGTAAAAGACTGGTATCCAACGCTTATTAAGGAACCTTATCTCGATAGCGTCACTTTGGCCCCTATCGTCGTCGATACTATAGAGTGCCTCCTACGTCGCGAGATACCTGTCGTCCGGCTCCCTTCTACAAACCGACTAATTGTAGATAGATTTATTGGTGTCACTGCGTCATTACTCCCGTCTCTCTATGACCTCTGTACGCTGAGTCATTACTTCAGAGGGAAAACATTGGCGGATCTCTCTGAACTACCAGATGATCATCGCAATGATCCATACATCGAGATCGAAAGCAAAATAAACGTCTGGGTCCCGGTCACGCCACCTGATTTCCACTCTAAATTTTCAGTCCCTGAAATACGAATCATGCTAGTCCAGGCACACTTGTATCGGCTCACAGCTCTCCTCATCATTCATCGACTTCGGTTCCCTCTAGGAACTGAAGATATTATTGGACAACGTTACGCAAAAGAAATATTTAGGGAGCTATATTCTTTGAGAGAATGGCCAACAAATGGAGCAACTGGTCTGGGATTAGATTTTCCTTTGTTTGTCGCCATGGTCGAGCTTCCTAAAGTAGGATTCGAGGCATTCCAAGCCTTTGACGCGTTAAGATACCGAAAACAACATCCTAGGAATATTATGGAATTCATAGAACTCATTCAAAAGAAACAGAGGTTGGGATTTCGAAGGTCTTGGTTGGACCTTGTCAATGGCGGATTTATAGGAGATATTTTGCCTTAATTAGCATGATCAACAAGAATGCTTAAATAACCAAAGCCAAACGATCTGTACGATCAGAATGACAATCTTGGTCACGGCAAGTTTGCGAAGCCTGACAACAAGGCACGCCCTTCGACAATTCTCTGGATGCTACAGTTTGAGTAATGGGAGTACGATGCTGTTGATCTTGCAAGTCTCAGCAGAGTGAACACTTGGTAAGATACCGTTCTTAGATTCACTTCAATGGCATTTCAGGAAAAGTATACAGCACGTTGGATCAGTGGAACAAAGCACCTCTTCCGCCATATACGTGATCGAGTTGAGAACAGCACTGTTTAATCATGACACAAACACTTTTTTTGATACCACTCAATTTCGAGTACTCACTTGTGATTACGTAGTTTCAGGCTTCATTTGACCTGATAAATCAAGAAGAGACTCATGAAAGATTCGAAAAAGGGTCAATGCCGCAAGTTATGAACAATGACGACGTTTGAAGAAGAGTCTATGTGAGGTCACTAGTAGACCTTTCAGCGTCCCACGTGTCACCAATAATCAGGACATCCCACCCAAATTAAATATAGACAAGCTTCAGAATGAAGTTTTACTCATCAGCTATTCGCAATTGTTAGCTCTTCTCTCCAAGCATGAGATGACGCTTCTCATATAGAGTGTTGGTTAGGATGAGACTAACGAACAACCAGCCTTCTGAAGTCCTCATCGCCGGCAATGTTCTTCCAGTCTTCGAGATTGTCAACCCAGACCTCGGCCACCACATCATATTCGGGTGATGGAAGCCCCAATTCTTTCACACTGACATGTAACTCGAGGGTGATGTGGTGCTGTTGCAACATTGTACTTTATGACTTTATGTTACTAAATTGAAGGTTGTAAAGAACTAGCCTGATTATTTCTGTGCACCTTGCTCATGAAATTTTCATTGGCTAAAGCAGGAATGATGTGATTCTTTGCCCAGTACGCATGGGAGTATTCGTGTGTAATTTGCGGTAATTTGCGCAAGTGGAGGGAGACCTTGAGATATTTGCCGGGGTTGGGAACACGGCCAGCGAGACCATGCTCAGTCAAGTTCAGGCAAAGTTAGGCCGTGACCTTCGAGATTTGGTAGAAAATTTTGATTATTGAATTTTGATTCTGAGAACCTCGACAGCATGTTACAGACTTTTCAGCCCATTTCATTTCTATACTCTGGACCGAACCTTATTTCTACCCGTCCAAAATGCTGAAGACCGTCGAATTCAAAAAACCCCTAGCGGTGGAGATGTATTTCCGGGATCCTAACAACTCCACGCACTCATGCCAAAAAAGCTCGTTGATGGTCCAGTAATCGGAATTGGAGTATGTGCCATTCCCGTGGGCAATTTTCAATCACATGCATTGTATCAGATGGTCATGACTGACCCAGTGACGGTCCAACATGGCAATTTCGGGCGGCGGGCTGGAGCTTGTCGTGCATATTCCTTGCACTGCTTATAGAACTGAAGGCCGAGAAGGGCTATCTTCAATGCCAACCTCGGATTTCCTAATGCGGTATACTACCGCATAAGCTCGCCCGATCACTATGCGGGGTTGCACCATAAGTCCGGTCGCCAGTCGTCTCTCTTTCTTGGCAAAGCAGACCGAGATCTACTTTGTTTAGCGACTAAGACTGGAACACATAACGGGGTTTGAGGTCTTGTTGTTGAGGATAGAACCTTCCTGGAGAGAACTGAAGCACTTTCTTAGCTATAGCACTTCCAAGTTGTCCCGTGGGACGTTTGAAGATACTAATTTCTAAAACTCCCAACGCAAACCAATTGAAAGGCAATCATGGGTCCTTTGGTAATTCTTGTTTCTTGAAAATGTGTCGTCTCATTCAAGTGCTAACAGAACGCGTTGAGGTTTTCAATCACCCAGTGAACCACATTGCAATATCCATTCCAGACCTCCAGGCAGCGGAGGAGTGGTACATGCGAGTACTTGGCTTTTCGAGACTGCGACCAAGCAAAACCCTGGACCGAGCAACGGAGCCGCACGCTGCTATATTTAAGATCTACCCGACCAGTCTTCAGAGGGTACAAGTGGCATACCTGAGTTCGGGTAACGGTGTCGGTGTGGAGCTATTCGAGTTCCAGGAACCACGTATCAGGCAGGGATCCGAGTCCAATTTTGAGAGAGATATCTCCCGCGGCGGCCTCTTCCACATGGCTATCACCACACCTGACGTCGTTGCCATGTGTGATCACGTTGTCACAAGCGGTGGCAAAATGATTGGTCAGGCTGTGACCGTCTTTGGTCAGGATGCCGTCTACGCACAGGATCCGTGGGGCAACGTCGTGGAGCTTCTTAGCTGCAGCTTTGACCAGCTCATGTCAAACAGATGATGCTGAATACGATTTGATAAGTTGAATCAAGTCAAAAGACATTTGTGTTGTAGTTGCTTCTAGGTTCCAACAACTGCATTGCCTTCGATAAATATTGATGGAAATCTATATTGGACCTGAACATTTTATTCTGATAGTCGATAAGATCCCAGTTGCTGACAAATCAGGATGTTGAACACAATCTATTTGTTCACCCAACTTGTGGCAATGCTTTAGTTATGGATTAGACAAGCTTGAAATTTAGCCGTCCGTGTTATTGAGTCGATTGGCTTTTTGGTCGTGGTGACTGTCCTGCTGCTCCCTTTGTCACCTCCAATGACAGACCACCATAGTCGCTGCGGCGACCACGACTCCTCCCAAGATCCAAGGCTGTACCTTCTCCCACGCGGCCCATGAAAGATCGTTTGAAACCTTTTTTACCTTGACTTCAAAACCCTCGGCTTCGTTGATACGCGGGAATACCACGCCGGCTGGTACCTCTTTTCCTAAGAACTCGCAAAGAGGCTTCCAGCCTGAACCTAGCTCGTACTCAAGCTTCCGCTCTTGTGGGATCACTTGCCGGATCCGGTCGTAATATGAGAAATAGAATCTCCTTGCAACATCTTTGTTAATCTGTCTGTAGCTCTGCAACCCGAATCTTCCCAAGATCAATTTTTCTATACATTGTCGTGCCCTGTTGCCTGTTAGAGCTGAGACGATTGTACCCAATTGTGTGTCAGGAAAGCGAAAGACGTGTCGCAACAAGGTCTCATCAAGACTTCGATACCAGGCATCGAAATCACGTTGCACGATGACAACTTTCGCTTCTGGGTAGGCATTCGCAAGCTCCTCTACGAACCACCCTGCCCAATCAGTTGGGACATCGTACTCGCCAAATATAGTATCCCAGTCGGAGCGAGTGAACGGTGGTTGCGCCTTGGCACCAGGGGCGTGTGGAAGTGTTGCGTCAATGGCTTTCTCGAATCGATGGAAGATTTCCTTGTCTTCCCGATCAAGGTAAAGACCATGCCAGGGACGCAGACCAAGAATGGAGTATGCTTCGCACATCGAAGCGGTGCCAGTGCGCCATAAACCAGCATGAATGACAGAGGGAGGACCAGCCCGCCTCGTGGGTATATCGGTATTTGCCATGGCAGATTTAGCAATGGAAATAGGAGTAGAGTAGAGTAGAGTAGGAAATTGAGAAATGGATATATGAAGGTCGAGAATCAAGTCGGAAGAATCTGTCATGCCGGCAACGAAACCTGAGTTGTAAGCAATTTATGGCTATCGTTTACCCCCCTAAGACAACCCGATCGAGCCTATCTAGAAATGCTGGTAGGGTTGTGATACTAGCCCGTTGCAGAGTATCTCTCTATGCTCACTAGGGGCTACGTGTAATTCGCACTGGGGATCGCTTATGAGCTGGTGCAATGACGTAAATCGGGCTGTCCCGAACGCTAACGGACCCGCAACCCACCTGCAGTACACGCATATTCCCATCCTTATCTTTTTTTAAATTTTTAAATAAACCCCCTACAGTATTCTTAATCGACAACGACCTGCTATAATGGGCAGGAGCGTGCACGGCGTATTCGGTCGTATGCATCAGGGATTGCCATGCCGTTTGAATCTCTAGTAAGCAGGCTTACGAGACGTTAGGCTCACGAAAGCGAAACAAAACGCCAAGTGGCCCGAGACTAGTATGCGAGCCAAGACGAATAGACTGTTAGAGATATTACAAAGATAGCGCGAGTATGCTTAGTCCCTGTAGAGAAGATTTGCAGCGTCCACACGAGTAGGATACCTAAATTCATACCCTCCATCACCTTAAGACATAAGCTAGTGATACGGCTCGCGACTTTTGAACAGCTCTCAGTCTGTTTACAACGATCCAAACTTATTCAACACTTCCAAATCTTTCTCCAGGGACTTCCATGCTTGCATTGTCATACAACACTCTATCCAATAATTCCCTTCTCGATCCTTTCCAGGGATCTGGAAGACATTGAGTGGTAGATTCCCGACACCAATAGCTTGAGTGTGGATGTAAGACACTAGACCCGAACTCCCAACACCATTAACAGTGTCGGGCTGTACAACCGCCGCACTGAAATCAGCCTTTTCATACAAGTGTGCCTTTGACCAATTCGTAAAGAAAATCCGGGCACTACCGGCTTCAATGAAGGAAGCTCGGGCTCCCTCGGCAGAACTGAGTATATCATAGTCAACGGCAACTCTGGCATGGATTTGCTCAGGAGTGGTCTGCTTGACAAGCTGTGTGCGGACAGCCGCGCCAAACTCCCCAAGCGGTGCCTCCGTCACAAGAGTGCTAGGCACATAAACATGACCCCTGAGGGTCGCATTACCCACGTAGATCGGGTTCTTGCCGCTGGAATCAAAGGCGGCGAAGGCAGATGGGGCTCGACCGCGTGTGTCGTAAGAATTGATGATAGTAACTGGCTGTGGAGATGACGGTGCAAGCTCGGCAAGAGCGTGCCTGCTCAGCCATGAGATCAAGACATCTCCCTCACTAAGAAACGGCCGACTTGGGTCGCTGTTGAGCGCTGCTTCCGGAGGGAAACCTCGAAGTTCAAGATCCGCGATGGCAGTCTGTCTTATCTTGTTGATCACGCGCTTGGGTAGAAATATAGACTTTTGTTGGCACTTCGCGCTAGCTAACGCGTGCCACATATCGCTTGACATGGAAGGGTTAGTTTCTAACCCTGCCAACTTTTCCACGAACTGGAGCCTCTCTCTCGGAGTAGTACTACCGAACTTTGCGAAGGCATCTTCAAAGGCGCCGATCCTGCCCGGGATCTGGGCTTCTTTACCAGCTATGACGTCGCTCCAGGCCTTGAGAATAGTGCCTATGCCTTGACCATCAGTTAGATTATGTAGGAAGTTCCAAGAGACTAGCGTGGCATCACGAAAAGAATTGATCCGTAATGATAATTGCGGCTCGTCTCGTGAGAGGTAGTCGGCCAGTTTCGTAGGTCCACCAGGAGGAGATATGAGAGAAACAAAAGAATTCCAGATGTTATCTGTGGTCTTCGCGAGTCGTCCAGCCTGCGGAAGTTGCGAAGCAATGGGATGATCGTTGATGTTCAATGGGAAATTTTCATGGTGGTAATGAACTACAGGACGCTCCTCGGAGAATGATTCGGGTATGTGAATCTCGAGCCTACCGCTGTTCTAGAGGGCATCGTTAACTCGCTGTCTCTTTCTGTCAATTTATGTCTTCGCGGACTTACATGGCGGCGTAAGCGGCCGCCTAGTTTCCTCCACTCTCCAATCTGCAACAAGCGCACTAACGCGGAGTGGATGCGTTCCGGATGCAAAACCTTGTCGAAGCATAGAGTCACTGAGAGAAGTACATTATTGTTGGCGGCAGTATCGTCGAAAAGATGCATCGGCACAATCTGATCACCTTTTATTGTCGGCGGTGCCATGCCGCCTTGGGACGAATCAGGCATTATTGAGATTGTGAACGAACTCGAAAGCTAATGTGTATCTAAAATGGGTGACGGTGAACTTTATAATCGCACGAAACAAATTTTTAACTGGGTCCTGGCTGACAGTTATATTTATATGCACCTGAGAAGCGGGGTAGACGCATCCCTAGGTTTATAAATTCAAAGATAAGAGCACTACTTACTTCGAAAATATTACTACTTGAGAAGGTGTAGGATTTTTCCTGTCACGAAAAACTTATATTGTAAGATTGTCTCGATACTTTTCTTTTCTAAAGCCTAACATAAGTAGATACTATCATTTCTAGACGATACAAGCGTATAACAATGATTTAATGCATCATTTTTCTCTAGTTGGGCTGAGGCTACCGTTCAATCAGCGCTTCTTGTGATACTTCACGGAAGTGACAAGAACTTGAGGACTAGTTTCTTTGGATATCAACCTTTTTCAAAGTCGACTTGGGTCCAACAGAACTCGGGCTCGGCTATTATGGGATGGCGATACATGATTCCTATGGATCCTATACTTCACTCTTGCGCATGACAGAGATCAAGCGCTCGTTTACGGCCAGCGCTTTTGAAGGGTTTCCACGGCGCACCATTCGCATATAACCAGCACTTAATCATAATTGAGGATCACCGTTGAGCGTTTTTTCAGCTTTCAGCAAAGAAAATGCATAATTGACTACAAAAGACCTGAGGACTGACTTCTAAATAGTGTAGCTTCCGTGAAAATGTAGTCCCAGCTCTACTTAATACCCTATTAATACTGTAAACTTAACAATAGGATCCAATTACCAAATGCATAAGCAGCGTAATTCCACGGATTCTCGGAGTTCTTGGTCCTCGGTTCCGGGCAATTCCACGCTCGAATGTAGAATACCACCTGAAGCCAAGCCGCCATCCTTTTCGGCATCACTATCAAAAAAAGTTATGACAACTACCTCCTCTGGGGTTTGGTCCTCGATCCAATACCACTCATGGGTATCTGAGTATCTAGATAGATAGCTATCTACATCATGCGTTCCAGTCATCTCTGGTTGTCCAAGATATGGAAATTTCATCACGGTAGGCACATAATCATTGGATTGGATTGTCCTCTGGTCGCTGACGCCTATTGGATCTCTTCGTACCGTCTTCAGTGGCCTCCAAATCGAGTAGATTGCCCATCGGGGTCCGTTGCTGTCTTTGTAATTCGTTTTTAGATCTTTCCCTTCAGCGAGCAGAGCATCTTCTGCTTTTATAATGTCGGCTGCGGCCTCGGTGAACTTGGGATGGAATTTCCGGAGATGAGTTCGGGCACCACTAGGCGTGTAGTCCAAATGAACTTTGGCAGATGGTTTTCCGCCACCTTGAGTGGGATCAAAGCCGATAAATTGAGGAAAACCAGTTACCAGCTCAAGTTGTGAACGCTTCTGCGTTGGTGCAGGTTCATTCTTAGTGTTATTACCTGTGTTGCTGTGTTGAACCTGTATAGCAACGGCGTCATCATCACTACCTTTAGCAGCCCTCAGAACGAGGCCATCAGCAGTGACGGACTTGCATCCC